GTCTTCGGTCTTTAGTGTTTAATTCATCAAATCTGTTCTTCAGATGATCTCTAAATTCAGGAGGGATAAATTCAAGATCATATTTTGGCTCTTGTAGAATTAAGAGAGGAAAAATTATAAACTCGAGGAAACCAATTTGTCTTGGGAGAATTATGGTCTTTAGATGTGAGGATGACAAGACTTCATCTCATATACTTTGTACATGTTAGCAGGAGTGAACAGTTTCTGGAGAATGACACCATGCTTGGTAAAGTAGTGTCAACAAAAAAGAGAGCCCTTCAATGAGATACACTGACACAGTGACTACAAAAATAGGCTAAAACATAGCAATATTGTGAAGATGAAGTAGGACTGGGCAATGTTTCATTCTGTTGTACATAGGGTCTCTAATCAGTCAAAACTAACTCTTAATGGCACCTAACAACAACAATAGAATGAACAGGAAGTCACCTGTGAAAAAGCATATTTAAATTTACCTTTGAAGCGCATATTAGCGTAAGTCAAGGCATATTGCTACTAGAGTTCTATCTAGTACATACACGCACAGGTTTATCACTGTTTAAATATTGCCACAATCAGTGGATGACTTCAGGCAAGTTCTCTCAGTAATTGTTATTAAGTGCTGTTAAGTCGGTTCCAACACATAGACCCTGTATAGGTTTCCAAGGAGCAGCTGGTAAGCTTGAACCACACCAACCTTGCAGCTCAAATGGCTTTCCAGTCTGGCGCATTAACCCACAGCGTCACACGAGGACACCCTCTCAGTAATAAACTTGTCTTAATCTAATTAAGATACCTTAAAAAAAAAAAAATCAGAACAGTGGCTTCTGAAGGGATTTGTTGGTTCAATTAAGTTCAAGGCAAAGAAGGTTATGGTGACTGTTTCTTAGGACCACAAAGGAATAATCTTGGAAGATTTTCTCAAAGGACATAGGATAATTAGGAGAGCTAATTATGAAGAAGTTTTTGGAAAATTAAAAACTGTATTGATGAGCAAAAAGACAAGAATTTGAAGGAAGAATTTTTCCCATCATGATAATGAATCTGCTCATTCTTCAAGGGTAACAATCATGTTACTCTTCAATGTTCTTTTCGGTTTGGGGTACAGAAATCATTCTGAAAGGGCAAGGTCAGGACTGTATGGTGGATGAGGTAAGGGTTTCTAATGAAATTCCTTAGGACGGCCCTTGTTACCCTTGAAGAATGAGCATGATTTGAATATCTCAAGGATATCAAAACTGCCATTTTTTATCTGGTATTAAGTTTAAAAATATAGAATTATTTGGGAGAAGAGTTAAAGAAATGGAGGATATGTGGAGAAGCTATTGCTTCACATTTTGATATTTGTGTTTATTAATGTTTTCTATGATTTTATAGAAATGTATTTTTGATTTATGTTCATGTGAGATTCAGATAATTCAAAGGTGCTGAGGAAACATCCCAGGCAAATGAACTTAAGAGAAGAAACAAACTGTTCTTTAGCTTGATTTTACTAAAACAAGTTTTAAAGAATAGAGATTATTCAAAATTTAAAAGAGTCTAACAAAAATAAAATACTAATCTGAAGCTCTTTGTTAAATTGAAACTCCTAAGATCATAAAAAATAATATTTAGTGTAGAGTCAATTTTTTTTTTTTTTAATAAATGTTTTATTGTGAATTGTGTGATACTCTACATGGGAGAACATTAGTTTCACATTCATTCCATCATCTATCATTTCATTGGCATAGTTACCATCCCATCCATGCATCCTCACCCAACCAAAGGGTGTGCCCTGTAAGCCTGCACCCCACCACCACCACCACAGTCCTCAGCCCTTTTCCATCTCCTGATCCCAAGTCCCCAGCCACAACAATACATTTTAACTCTACATCTGCTGCTTAGCTGAAAAAGACAGAAAAAAGAAAAAGGCCACATGAGATCTCTGATGTGTCAGTCTGATATGTTTACATTAAGAACAAGTTTCACTAGTTATTTTAAGTAATCTCTGTAATCAGAATACAAAAGGCACATATCATAGAAACAGTTAACCTCAAGAAACTCTGATACTGTAAACTTTTCATTATGACATCATACACTGCCCACAAAGTTTAAGGAAAGTTGCTATTCAGAGTGACTTAGCACTATTTGGTTTCATTTTAAAGTAAGACAGTATATTCTTACAACAGCAAAATTTTTTTAAAAAGTTTTCTTAACTACAGCTCACTGATTTGTTTAACATGAGGAAGTGAGTCATCTATGTAAACATTTTCTTTATGAGTACAATATAGACTATGTGACACATTAAGCTGTTGGGCAAAGACATTTCTTAGTCACAAAACTTATGTACAGTTAAATGACTTAAGGATGTGATCTACAGTAAGAGATACCTCTAATTTTCAGTATAATATTTAACTGTATGTTTATTAAAAGGTGGATTTTGATGCAGCATATCCTTTCAGATGAGCATCTTCACTAGACACGTTAAAGAGAATAGTGGAAGTTTGGTTTTTTTTGTTTTTTGTTTTTTTAAAGCATCTCCTTTAAATGTTTGTCATTACCAGTGGAAAAAACTGTATTAAAAATGTTAATTAAGAAAAATATTTTTTTCATAGATTTTATGTACTGAAGTAGACATGTTTACAATATAGTCACATAAAATGCATATATCTAATTAGTCATTAGTAACCAAGTTGGTTTGGAAAAAGGGTATAATAAGTAGATTTTTTTTCATTAATTGTTGTCCTATCTATGTTCTTACCGTATTATGAGTAGTTCTACCCAGACTCGTACAAAAGCTGGTAATGGGCCAAAGACTTCCAGAATATATGTGTAATGACCCCCAGATTTCTTTATACTTGTTCCCAATTCAGCATAGGACAAAGCACCTGTGGAATAATTATTTAAAAAGAAAAAAATGTGCAAATTTAGCATATTATCAAGTCACCGAGCAATAGAATTGTTACAAATGTTTATGTTGTGTGAGATTAAATACCACCTCTGAATGACATCCTTATGTCAAGACAAATAACAGTTATCTAATTGCTAAGAACTACCAAGTTCCTCTTGGAACTTCTCTACATTTGAAATGTAGTTCACTCATGTTCTTTATGACAGTAAAGACAAACTTCTGAAACAGTGTCATATGATTCAGCATTTGCAATCTGAATCTTGAGAACAAACAAAAAGACTTGTTCATGCCATCAAATAAGTTCTGTATAGGGTTTCCAAGAAGCAGCTGGTGGGTTTGAACCACCAACCTTACTGTTAGTAGTCCAGAGTTTATTCTACAGCACTACACCAGTACTCCAAAGAAAAAGTGGTTATCGATAATATGTATATTACCTATTTTTAGAGTATGATAAAACATCAAGACAAAACAAAATTATCCCAAACTGACTTCATTATAATGGGAACTTTTAAAATAAATTATGTTTCTATGGCAAGTCAAAAAAAAACAAGTACTATCTGTTGGTCAGAAAAATAGCGACTATAGGCTTTATGAGACTTCATTAATTTTTAGGGTATATTTCATTTTTCAACAAAATTCATTCTGACTCGAATACTTTCTTTTCTAGAACCATGAAAAGATGTTCTTGAAGTATACACTTCTGAAAAGTTGAAAGACCATGCTTTTTAAAATAAGATGATTTAACTTACAAGTTTGTGAAAAATTGAATTAAAAAATAATGGAAGTTTTCTATAAACCTTTTGAAGCCCCTTCATATATATACTGATGTACTTATATTCCCTTCAGTCCAATTTAAGGAGCTCTGGTAGCGTAGTGGTTACGAATCGGGGTGCAAACCGCAAGGTCAGCAGTTCGAAACTACCAGCCACTCCGCGGGAGAAAGATGAGGTGGTCTGCTCCCATAAAGATGTACAGCCTCGGAAACCCTGTGTAGGGTCGCTATGAGTCGGAACCGACTCCATGGCACGTAACAACAACAACAGTCCAATTTATTGCTAGTTAAAATTTTAATATTCAGTAATACAATTAATAAGGACGTTGGTCAAGTTATGTAATCTCCTGAAACCTCAGTTTTACCCCTAGAAAATTAAGATCTCAATTCTTACCACATAAGGGCATTTGTGTAAATGTTATAATGTGTACCAATGAACGTAACAGACCTAATGCATTACAAGTCCTAAGGAAATAGAGCTATACTTAATAATTTAATCAATTAATTTTCAAGAAAATGAAAAGTATATCTCAAGATTTTTTTGTGAAAAGTTCTATCCTTACTGTTGAGTATTCAAATGTAACATGCAATTTTGTTTGAGCTGCTCTAGAAACAAGTTGTGGAAAATTATCACTAATCATTAAAGATATCAGTTTGAGGACTAAGGTGCACCTAATCCAAGCCATGGTATTTTCGACAGCCTCATATACATATGAAAGTTGCACAATGAATAGGGAAGACCATACAAGAATTGATGCATTTGAGTTAAGGTGTTGGAAAAGAATATTGAAAATACCATAGACTGCCAGATTAACAAATAAATTTGTATTGAAAGAAGTACAGCCAGAATGCTCCTTAGAAGCAGGGATGTTGAGATTTCATTACTTATGTTGTTGTTGTCATGTGCCATTGAGTCGGTTCCGACTCATAGTGACCCTGTACAGGGTTTCTGAGGCTGTAAATCTTTACGGGAGCAGAAAGCCTCATTTTGCTCCCACGGAATAGCTGGTCGTATCCAACTTTGACCTTACGATTTGCAGCCCGATTCGTAACCACTATGCTACAACTTCGGACACATTATCAAGAGGAACCAGTGCCTGGAGAAGGACGTCATCCTTGGTAAAGTGGAGGGTAGGAGAAAAAGGAAGACCCTCAATGAGATGGAGTGACACAATGGCAGCAGCAATTGGCTCAAACATAACAAGTGTGAGGATGGCAGAGGACAAACAGTGTTTTGTTCTGTTGTATGTAGGATCACTCCAAGTTGGAGTAAACTAAATGGCACCTAACAGCAGCAACACCAAAGCTTCAGATGGGGGCAGTAGTGCTTTCCACGTAATGCTTCTCAAGCACACCCACCATTTATCTGTCAGTGGAGGCTCATGTGTTACTTTAATACTGAATAGATTTCAGCAGAGCTTCTGGACTAACAAAACCTAGTCTCTACTTCTGAAAATCAGCCAATGAAAATCCTGTGGATCACAATGGTCTGATCCCATTGTCCATGAAGTCCCATGAGACAGGGGCCAGTTGGATAGCAGCTAACAACAACAAAGTTTCAGATAGGAGTATAAAACATAAATATATTTTAGATATCCAGTGAAGTCATAATATCACTTCTCTGACTCCCAAGTATATCACTGCATCAGAATCACCAGGAAAGAATTTTTATTTAAAAGCTAGTCAAACAAAAAACATATTTTAAGGCCTTCAAGAATAGCTATTTATTTAAAATACAGATAATTTAGATTATCTAATCTGCAGATTGATATTTGGGGACTGCTGATATTTTTCAACTAGTTGCAATTCAGCCAGGTGCCATGTTGGTAGACTGTCCAGAAAAAGGATTCAATATGAAATGTTATTGGGAAGAATCCTAAGTATCTCAGAATTTATTGCCAGAGAATCAATACCTAGACTTGTATATGCTTTGTTGAAACTCCAGGATGTTGCTTTTAGGTTTAAATTGAGTTCTAGAGGAATGAGTTTTTCATTTAAAGATCTCAAGTTCCATAGCCATTTTGCCCAGATTAAAAAAAAAAAAAAAAGTTCAAAACAGGATGTAAAAATCCATTTATTGACCTTGGCATTTTAAAAAATTGTAAACCAAATAACAGATTCCTTATGCTTAGTCCAAGAATTCTATGGAGTCTTAAGAGAATTATTGTTTTGTCCTTACATTTCGTTTTGTTTCTTGTTAGAGAGGCACACCTATCAAACTCCTAGCAACTAAAGTGATAAATGCAATGTAAATACAGATAAGTAGACTTATTCAAGAGAAAACTCCCTATAATTAGTAATCAAAGAATACCAATTAAAATGCCACCCTTGCTAGTTCTTTTACCTGGTATTTTTGTTTGATGACCTTCAGCTATAGATGAGATACTTATGCATAAACATAATTTCATAGGGCAAGTCATCATCACTTTAGCTATTTTAATGCTCAGAGTAGCCCATTTTATTACATCTGAATAATTTGTATATATGTGTGTGTGTAGACATGTGCACACACAAAAATCTAACCACACAGTGGGAGCTGAGTGCATATAAGTATGCAACATCCAGGAAATTGGTTGTAGAATTACACATTGATTTATTCAGAATATATAAAATGCTATAGGGTAATTTAAAGCTAATAATGCACAAAGTTATTTAAGAAGATCAACAAGTTTTATTCATTCATCTACCAATATATATGCCAGTACCCTCTTAATATTAATAGTGGCAAGGTTAGCGGTTCAAGCGCACCAGTCGCTCCTTAGTAACCCTATACAGGGTTGCTATAGGTCAGAACTGACTCAATGGCACTTAACAACAACAACAATGGTTCTATCACTGATTTTCATAACCATATTAATTCTAATTTTTTATAAGAATGGAAAGTTGAAGACGGAAAGCATAACGATACACGATTATTACTAAACACTTTATAACGTACATAGTACTGGTGTGACGCTGTAGGATAAGCAGTGGACTGAAATGTCGGTTTGAACTGCAAGGTCAGAGGTTCAAACTCACAAGTTATTCCTTGAGAACCCTATACAGGGTTGCTATGAGTTGGAACCAACTCCAAGGTTTGTTGTTGTTGTTATGTGCCGTGGAGTCGGTTCCGACTCATAGCGACCCTGTACAGGGTTTCCGAGGCTGTAAATCTTTACGGGAGCAGAACGCC